ATATATTTCAACGCTAGGCATAAAAACAAACAAACAAACAAAAAAGCCACTTCCATTTACCCAAGTATGCTGATGACTGTTTCTCTCCAGTTGTGCTAATACTTATCTTTTAATTTTTATTGTTAAAAGAAAACTAAGTAGCAATGATTAACTGCAAGAGAGCACACTTCTAACGTGAGTTATCTCAGCATCATTCCTGGGTTCTTTTTCTTTCCCCCTTCTCCTTTCGGTTCTTCAAAGTAAAGAGGTAGAAAGCAGGGATGGGGGCTAATTTTCCTAAGCACTGGGTTAAGACCATACAGCACGGAATGGAAGGGTAGCTGGCTGGGGCTGGCCTCACTGTTTCTGCTCTGCCTTTGGCTGTAGCCACTAGACTGCACATCTTAAGCGATTTTTCAGATCAGCAAAAGGGAAGGTTTTAAAGCCAGGCTAGAAAAGGGTTTTGCTTTCAGGACACATTTCCTTTCAGGATCATGGGGAAGGGTTCTTGGAAACACAATAACTTGCATTGGGAGTTTGACCACAATTCAGCAAACCCAATGATAATATTCAAAAATACTTATCTTATCACATGCATCACCAAAAAGCCTAATTCACAGACTTCCTAATACTCAAAATGCCTCCAGGTCCTTCTGTCCACATCTTTTTTCTAAATGCCACCCTTGATTTGATCACCAACAAATATTACAACTTTCTGGCTTTTAAGATGTAAGAGAAAGCTTCAGAAATGGACATAAGAGCCAGCTCAATCATTCTTCAAATGAACAGTCACTCTAAAAAGATCCTTCTTTTATTGACTGCCTTTCCCACAGAGGAGGGGGAGAAATAAAATTGAGGCTAATCCAACCATAATCTCTATTCCCATGAATCAATGACATAATATCTGGCAGAAAGAGGCCCAACAGTAATTGGGGCTGCTGCTAGAGGGGGGAGGTCACGCTATGGAATTCTTTTAAGATCATACTGTGGCCTCAAATGTCTTTAAACCAATGACAACACTATAGCTAATAAGCACAGTAAAAAGCACAAAGATGGATTCAGGATGTGAGCAGGTGTAGTAGAAGACAAAATGCTCTAAAGAACTGCATGCAGTATAAAGAAATCTATAAAAATGAGAAAGAACATAATAGAGCAGGAAGTAAGAAAGAAAGAAAAAGAGAAACACAAGAGATTTACTAGTAGGAAAGGTATGAATTATTACCTAGAGGGTGAGTACTGAATATAATTCCCATCCAAGATGGGAACAGACATAGGATATTATCCTGTTGGGAAATTTCAACACTCTAGACATTTGCTGAAGGTAATGTTTCATTAAAAAGCTAAGCCTCCAGTTATTTCAGATTCTTTTTTAAATTGAGGAGATGCACCAACTAAATAAGATGTGTGATTTACATTAGACCACGGACCAGAAAAAAATAGTAATGGTGGGACAATTGGCAAAGGTTGATGTCTATAAACTGATAGTATTGTATCAATGTTCATTTTCTGGTTGGATAATTGTTCAAGGATTATGTAAAGTGTTAACATTTGGAAAATATGGGTGATGGGTATTCAAGAATTGTTGCATTACTTTTGCAACATTTCGTAAAGGTTAAATTATTTCAAAATAAAATGTTTTTTTTAAAATAGTAATAAAGAGCTAAGGCTCTTAACTCACATATACAACCAGAGACACTGATACATTCTTGGCTGGTCCAAATGACATTCTTCTCAGATGACTCTTGAACTGGAGTTCATTCTGATTCAAACAAGGAACTAACTGGTGAGGGAAACTTTCAGAGTTAAAATCTGAAAGGATGTTTGGTAGTAATTAGCCTAAGTCGCAAAAACAGAGGAAAGAACTTCTAGAAAAATGTAAATCTGTGTAGAGTTAATCAAACAGAGAGGAAGCAGAATCATGAATTTCCTCACAAATAGGTATTGTTGTTAAGTGCCATGGAGTCGGTTCCGACTCATAGCAACCCTATGCACAACAGAACAAAACATTGCCCAGTCCTGTGCCAAACTCACAATTTTTATGTTTGAGCCTATTGCTGCTACCACTGTGTCAATCAATCTTGTTGGAGGTCTTCCTCTGTTTTGACGACCCTACATTTTACCAGGAGTCCTGGGGTGGCACTGAAGGATAATGCACTGGACCGCAAGGCCAGTTTAAGCTGCAAGGTTGGCAGTTCAAACCCACCAGGCTCTCCTTAAAAGTCCTATACAGGGTCGCTATGAATCAGAACTGACTCAACGGCACGTAGTAACAACAACTACTTTATCAAGCATGATGCCCTTCTCCAGGGGCTGGTCCCTCCTGACCACATGTCTAAAATAAGAGAGACAAAGTTTCACCATCCTCACTTCTAAAGAGCATTCTGGCAGTACTTCTTTCAAGACAGATTGTCACAATTCAAATGCATCAATTCTTCTCCGGCTTCTCCACTCATTGTGAAGTGAAAAGCATCTTCGTTTCTTCTCTGAAATGCAGTCACAGGTAGCCATTGCCATTGAGTCAAATCTGACTCATGGTGACCACACGTGTCTTACAGTAAAACTGCACTCCACCAGGTTTTCAGTGCCTCCATAGGTGGGTACAAATGGTTAAGCACTTTACTACTAACCAAAAAACTGGTGATTCCTATCCAGCTCAGATATTCCTGAAGTGATTCCTATCCTCCTCAGGAGTCTTGGTGTGGTGTTTTAGGATAAGCACTCAACCATAAGGTTGATTTGAAATGCAAGGTGAGCAGTTCAAACCCACCAGTCACTCCTTGGAAACCCTATACAGGGTCACTATGAGTCGGAACCTACTCGAAAGCACTTAGCCACACCAAGTATCCACTTCAGATAGGAGTCCTGGTGGAGTGCTGTAGGATAAGCACTGGACCAAAAGGTAGGTTGGAAGTGCAATGTCAGCAAGTCAAACACACCAGCCATTCCTCGGAAATGCTCAACGGGGCTTAACAACAAGAAGAATGCCTAGGATGGAGTCCTGATGTGGCACCAAAGAGTGGTTGGTGAGTTTAAACTGCTAACTGCAAAGTCAGCAGTTCAAACCCACCAGCTGCCCCTCAGAAACCCTATACAGAGTTGCTATGAGTCAGAACAAACTGGACAATACCTTATATCAACAACAATCAAGATATATCTGTTCTATCACCACAAAGGAACTTCATGCTACCTCTTTATAGTTGCAAACCCCTGGCCACACCCCCACCGCATGCACTCCCCCTATTTCTTGGCAGCTACTAGTTTAGCCGCCATTTGTATCACTTTGTCATATCAAGAATGCTATCAAATGAAAGCATGTATGATTCAACCATTTGAAATGGACTTTTTTCACTCAGCAGTTCCCCGAGATCCATTCAGTTACTGAATGCCTCAATAGATCATTTATTTTTATTGTTGAGCAGTATTCATTCCATTGTAAGGCTACCAGAGTACATTTACTCATTCACCTATGGAGGACGACTTGATTTGTGTACAGTTTGGGGCTATTATGAATAAAAGTTGCTGCAAACATTGCTATGTAAAATGTTGTGGAACATTAGTTTTCATTTCTCTGGGATGAATACCCAAGAAAAATTGCTGGGTCATTAAGTACAGGTTTGGTTTTATTAGAAACTGCCAAGGGATTTTTCAAAGCGGTTTTATTAGTTCGCATTTCTATCAACAATGTATAAGAAATCCAGTTTCCTCCCCATTCTGATCAACATTTAGTATTACCACCATTTTTAAGTTCTTCTAATAGGTGTGCAGTTATATCTCATTATTGTTTTAGTTGGCATTTTCCTAATGGCTAATGGTGGTGTTGAACATCTTTTTGTGTGTAATTGTCTTCTGTATATTCTCTTCATGTTTTTTGGCCATTTTCTAATTGGATTGTTTGTTTTTTAACTGTTGAGTTATGAGAGTTCTTTATCTGTAATAGTGTAATCCCTTGTTAGACATAGGCTTTGCTAATATTTTCTCCAGTCCACAGCTTGTCTTTTCATCCTTCAAACAGACCATGTAGCAGAGCAAACATTTGTAATTTTGATGAAGAACATGTCATTCCTTTTTCATGTTATGGATCATGCTTTTTGGTGTCAAGACTAGGAAAAGAGGTTTCTGTTCTCTTACCAAAATTAAAACTCTCAAGGGAACAATATCTAACTAATTAGGGAGACAGTGATTAAAACTGGGGCTGCTAATTGTCTCCTGGGCATCTCCCTCTAGAGTAAGGTTCCCTAGAGGCTCCCAGCAATGGAGAGCAAAATTAAGCCTACCATCCCTGCCAATTATGCGATCATCATGTGTCTGTAGTATTCCTATCTATCTTTAGGAAACTAGAGATCATATGGAGATATGGTTTTTGTTGCAAGTTTTATGTTCCTGTGAGGATATAATGTAATATTATGTATAATCTGGAGCAAGTTTTGTTTTGTTTTTAAATAGCACACTTCCTACCTGTAGAGGCCTGCTGTTAGTCTATGAGAAATCTTAAGTGGTTTTAAGACAACCAATCATAGATGAACAGAGAACAAATATGGAGTGGTAGGAATGGGAATGAAGCCTAAAATGAAGTTGGTGATGAAGTTATAGAACATCAGCTTATTGGGGGGAAAGCTGTAATGGGATTTCTATAAGGTAAGAATCTTATGATGTGAGATGATTTTTCTTTCCTCCAGTATAGTGGTTACAGGTTGGGCTGCTAGCCACAAGGTCAGCAGTTCAAAACTACCAGCTGTTCTGTGGAAGAAAGTGGTTTAGTGAGTCTATCCTTAGGGCTGAGAGGCCCTCGACAGAAAGTGGTTTAGTGGTTCTATCCTTGGGGCTGAGAGGAGCTATAGTCAACCAGAAGCAAACAGAAATCTCCAGAAACATCAACACAGGAAGAAAAGCCTACCTGCAGCACACGGTCTCAAGAGCCCTAAGCTATAGAGCAACGGCAAACATCAGTTCAGCTCACTAAGGAAGCAACAAATAACTCAAGCCCTTTTTTTCTTTCTCTGCTTCCCTGAATTGTTACTTACAGGTTCCCGGCCATCCATGGCTTCCATCCAGAGCCTCCGGTCCTCTTCCGACAATGCTTGCATAGTGATAACCCCTGGTCTGTGGAGAGAGGAGGAGCACGGATGAGAATTCCAGGCCAGAGGTAAAGAGATACTGGGGAAGGAGAACTTCACAGAAACCTCTCAAGTGGGCAAAGTGATGTTACATGGAGGGGACTGCAGTTACTGAAATGAAACCAAATGCCTGCTTTGTTGGATGCAAAACTGAGGATCTGCTCTGTAAACCTTCATTCAATTCATAATACAAAGTTGAAATTAAAAATAAAAAAGACCACAGTCTAGATAATCGTATAGTACAGTTCTACTCTGTCACATAGGGTTGCTATGGAATTGACTTGATGGCACACAATAATGACCACCAACTACCACAGTGAGTTGTTATAAGATTAGAGAGGACGACCAAAAAAAAGAAAGGAAACTAAACCGCCACTCAGCAAAGTGACAGATTACTAGAGACACAACACTCAGCTTCTCTAAGTCACCTTCAAGTCTCAGAAAACAAACCCCCCACCGAGATCACTCACACTAAGGTGTCACCCTACTCTCCAGTTAAGGGAAACACAGGTGAGTGTGATTCCTTTAAGCTTGTTCATTCCTTCAAATCTTCTTCACTTACATTCCCCCAAATGCCTAACAAGGTGCTATTTTCACAGGATGAGTATAATAAATATTCGCTGAAGTGAATGGAATTTTTTTAACTCAGGACAAGAAGTGCTTTGGAACTAGATAGAGTTGGTGGTTGCACAAAATTCTGAATGTACTCAATGTCATCAAATGGTTCACTTTAAAACAGTTAACTTAATGTTATGTGAATTCTACCTCAATAAAATAAAATCATTCTTAAAGAGAAAAAACATCCAAACTAAAGGGATCTCTGTTTCTGAATATCTAGTTCAATGTTTCCAAACTGCTTTTGTGGTGGTTTTATGGAGGCAACTGGTTATGAAATTTTGACTTGAGAGAGAGAGAGTGTGTGTGTGAGTGTGAGTGAGTGTAAACTACTGCTTTCCAACCAATCCTGACTCACAGTGAATGACCCTGCATGACAGAGTAGAACCATCCATAGGGTTTCCAAGGCTGTCAATTTTGATGAAAGCAGACTGCCACATCTTTCTCCTGCAGAGCACTTGGTGGATTCAAAGCCCCCAGGGCCACCAGGGTTCCTGTGCATCTGGATATATATGATACATTTTTAATGAAGACGTACTTACCCATAGTCCTAATGTGGCACTATAGGATAAGCTCTGGACTGCTAATTCCCTAGCCACTTCTCAGAAACCCCAGAACCGACTCAATGGAACAACATGTACTTACCAAGTCAAATGCTAATTGCTTTACATGCATTAACTCGTTTCACTCGCTGACTGAAATCTGCTTGCTGGTAAAAACTGAGTGCGTGTCCTCCAGAAAGCACATCAACAATATCAAGTATTGCCTAGTTTCCATTACAGATGGCACTCCACAGGAGACAGACTTGTGCCCAAAAAATGACCTTGGAAGACAGGCTACAAGTCCTGTGTGCTCATTAAAGCAGAAAGATCCAGAGCTGGATCTTAGGCCCAAAACCACTTTCTCCACTCCCTAAACACACATGCATTTTTCTGTAGACACAATGCAAACTGCCCATCAGATTCCCAAAAGGTTAAGAATTGCTGATTTAAACCCATATCTTTAAAATCTGACAGAGTCAAAAAGGCAAAAAGGGGTCCACTGAGCCATAACTAAAGTCCAATTACCTTCTAAGTGCACAAGGACTGTTAATAATCATAAAGCAACACAGCACTGAAACTCACAACTTGTTACCACCCTGAGCAGCACAAGCCTTGGTCCCACCAACAGCCATGCCTGTTCATTTGACTCCTATGAATCAATGCTCCTGACTGATTGCCACAGTAACCGGGAGTATGTACACTAGACTTATTTATGTCTACTACTGGAACGGGAAGAGGTCATGGGTGGGGGGCAACGGGGGCACTGAGTGACACTAACTCTAGTGATGCCGCTGCTTGGATCAGTCCAATAGCCTTCTGAGCTTCAGGCTTCTTCAAGTAAAGTGGGAAATAGAGAAACTGTATGTAAATGTGTGTGTGTGTGTGTGTGTGTATATATACATGCATGTATGTTGAGCAGGTGATCAGGTGGTCAGGTGAGAGTGAAAGGATGAGAGAAGGCAGCAGGAAAGGGACTGATTCCCAAGAAGGCTGTCATTTCTGTGAAGGCCACAATGGACACTGTTACCCTAACACAAACATGAATCAGAAGATGCAATAACTCTTCTCTCCACAAACACCTGCCAGAGCTCTCCCTCCCCTTCTCAGCAATTCTCACTCTTAGACCCAAGTGCCCATTTCCCACCATCTGCCATCCAGTGTGCCAGACTCACAGGGTGTCCACAGACTCTGTGTTGGCAGCTGTGGCTCCGCAGAGCTGACCCTGTGGCCTGGGGACATAGTGTATTGATTCTGCCCTTCCACCTCTCAAAGAACCAAGCACAGAATTTGAACAACTTTAAAAATTAAAAAATGGAAAAAAAAGAAAGTTGAAGAAGCTACCATTAAATGCAGAACCTAGATTTTGGAGTGCAACTCCAACTGCTGCACATGGACCTCCTGCTTCAGAATCAGGCATTCCTTCAAAATGGAGTCCCAACCCAACCCTACCTTACTGAATCGGAACCTAAAGGCTGAGCCTGAGAACTTGGATTTTAACCAACTTCCTAAATGATCATGACATACAGTTACTTACATCTGAGGCCCACTGCGCTGGGCTGCCCACTCCATCCCAACCCTTTTCCTTCCTACTCCCCCTGCACTGGAGAGCAAAGACACCCTCCTTGACACAGGGGTCAAGTACAAGTGTGCCTCTGGTTCATTTCCTGCTGGATGCTCAGCAGCATAAAGTGAGACCACAACAGTTGCCTAGCACACCACAACTTCAGAATCTGGCAGATGTTACATCAACCTTATGACGCACAGCATGAAATTTCCAACCCAAGCCACAAGGGGAGGTTTAGGCCAACTCAGAGGCTGTGAAGACTGGGCCACTTGGCTTGGTAGCCAGGGAAGTCAACAGGACTTAACTTTCCTTTCAAAAAGGACTGTCAAAATATAAGTTATTTTACACAGGTGGTGTTCTGCTCCTTTTGTGGGGACTGAGGGAGTGGGGTGAGGGTGGGGGTGGCGGCAATAAAAACCTGAGTAAAATGTGGATTTCGCATACTTGGCTTTACTCATATCACCCCCTCAATTTATGTAATTTTCTCTCGGGTTCTTGTATATGCTTCTGGATCATATGAGAGAGTAACCTTTCTAAACATCTAGAAAACATTAGTTCCATGTTTCTTTTCCTTCATTACAATTTCAACCACTTTTACACAAGTCTTACTTATGTTTCCCTTATTTTGGAATAAAAAAATTATTTTCCTTCTATAATTACATGCCTGATGGCCCTACCAACTGCAATTCACCAAGACAAAACAAGCAAACCCCCCAGTGACCCTACATTTTTAATTCCAGGCTCTGGAAGATAGCACACAAACACCATCGTGAATGGACAGCATTAAAAAGGACAACAAAATCAAGTACTGGAAAACAGTGGAACAACTCGATCTTACAAACATTGATGCTGCGTAAATAAATGGGTAAAGGCACTGTCTGCTTCTATTAAGATTTATAATCTCAGAAGACACAGACAAAATACTCATAGTTTTATTCATATGAAAACAAAAACCATTGCTACTGAGTAAATTCCAACTCATAGCAACCCTATAAGACAGTGTAGAAACTACCTTATCCCACAGGTTGTGGCACTGTAGGATAAGCACTGCACCGATAGGTTACTTGGAACCATACTCACCTGCCGCTCCTTGGAAACCCTATACAGGGTCGCTATGAGTCAGAACCGACTTGACAGCACTTAACAACAATAATTTTTACAGATCATCATTTGTGTGAAGCACTTACTGATGAAGATCACAAACTACAGCCTTCCATGTGGATTGCATTGCAGCATAAAACAAAAATCCTCACAATTCAACCAATAATCAACATCATGATGTTGTTGTTGCTAAGTGCCATTGAGTAGGTTCCGACCCCTAGCGACCCTGTATAAGGTTTCCAAGGAGCGACTGGTGAGCTTTAACTGCTGACCTTGCAGTCCAGCACATTATAACCCATAGCACCTCATCAGTACTCCAATATCATGATAAACAGAGAAACTACTGACATTTTCAAGAATTTCATTTCACTTGAATCCACAATCAATGCCCCTAGAAGCAGCAGTCAAGAAATACATGAGGTGTTCTGCTAAGCAAATCAGCTGCAAATGGGCTCTTTAAAGTGGGAAGGAACAAAGACGTCCCCTTGAAGACTGATCTCAAGGCATGATTGACCCAAGCCATGGTGTTTTCAATCATGTCATATGCATGTAAAAGCTGGATAATGAATTGTTGTTGTTGTTGTTAAGTACCGTGGAGTCAGTTCCCACTCTTAGTGACCCTGTACAGGGTTTCCGAGGCTGCAAATCTTTACCGCAGCAGAAAGCCTCATCTTTCTCCTGTGGAACAACTATAGTTTCGAACTGCCGACCTTGAGGTTAGCAGCCCAATTCGTAACCACTACAGTACCAGAGAGAACTTTTGTATTTGAACTATGGTGTTGGTAAAGAACATTGAATATAAGAACAAACAAATCTGTCTTGGAAGAAATATAGCCAGAAAAGTCTTTAGAAGTAAGAATGATGAAACTGTGTCTCATATACTTTGGACATGCTATCAGGAGGGACCAGTCGCTGGAGAACATAATGCTTGGTAAGGAAAACTCTCAAAAGGATGGATTGACAAAATAGATGCAATTAAGAACGAAAACAGGAACAATTATAAGGACGGTGTTTCCTTCTGCTATACACAGAGTTACTATGGGTTATAACTAACTCACTGTTACTTAACAACAACAGTCTTTATGGGAGCAGACTGACACTTCTTTCTCCAACTGAGTGGCTGGTAGGTTCAAACAAAATCTCCCAGTAGTCAGCTGAGTGGTT